TCCCCGCCCGCCCCAGATGCGGCTGCAGCCTCTCGAGGACGAGGACTCTGCAGCGCCCGTGCAAAGGTGAACCGGGGGAGAGCGGTGCAGAGCCCGCTGATCGTCTTTTACGGAGGCAGCCGCAGTCTTTTTTTTCTCTCTTAAACGAGAAGCTGGTTTGAGTTGCATCTTCCAACTTCATCACTAATGGGAAGAAACAGAAGATATGCTATGATTGCCTTGCGCTGCCTTGTAAACAAAACAAGAGCAATGCAGATAAGGGAGAAATGTCCTGTGTGTGCTGGGACCGGCTACACGCACCTAGAGCGTGAAGTGCCAGCATCCCGTTCAGAGGCCTTGCTCCTGCTCGCTTACCTTCGTGAGGGCGCGTGAGCCGAGCCTGTCGTGTAATGTGCCGCTCAGCCTGCGTCGGGGGGGATCTAGGAAAGGCAGCGTTTCGTTAGGTGTTCGGGCTGACTTTTGCTGCATTCGCAGTAATGCCGTTACCACGGCCTACGTTGCAGTTCCTGTAGACAAGGGACAGGCAGATGAGGTGACACAAAGAACTGAAGTTGCCAGGCAGAAACAGTTCAGTTTCTGCAAGACTCGAGACCTATTTCAAACAAAGGCTCAACACGAAGGGAACGGGAGCCCAGGCAGTTCCCTCTGAGAGTAGTAAATACCTCTTACCTTGTTTCTGGCCCTGTCTTCCGCAAAGTCTTTTCTGCGCTGTGGCCCAGCTTCATCCAGTGGGATGAAGCCCCAGCGCCTGTCCAGGGCGTAACTCGGTGGTGAAGTCTTTAACAGGGAGGTATGGTTTTAAACTTCATCTCTCATTTCCTGGGAGAGTGCTTGAGAGCTTGCTAGGCTGTTGTTCAGGAGTGCAGAACCTGTTAACATCTCTGACCACCTTGTTTCAAAACAAAAGAGCAAACCCTCCTCAGGTCTTCCAGGGAACACAGCTGAGCATCTGCCCTCAAGGGAGGGTTCCCGGCTGTGGAACCCAAATGAAGGAAGGGGTATGCCCAGTCCTGTTCCAGGATCCAGAGAGAAGTGAGATTTTAGCTAGGCTTCTGTAACAAGACTTCAGTTATTCCTTCTGAGAGGAAGATCCTGGCTGAGTACAGAGACTTTTGGATCTGTTTCTTTCCTCCGGATAGTGGGGCCAGTGCCTTGTTCTGGATCTCACATGGACCAAGTGTCTAAAATCTAGGTATCGCTGGAACTGACTTTCAGTTCGTTTCTTATATCTGGTTCTTCTTCTGCAGGTGCTAAATGCCACTCAGTTTTCTTTGCATAGTTAAAAAATACAGAGACTGCTGAAAGACAGATGCACAGAATTAAAAGGTTTTCCTGTTGCCTTTTTTTTTTTTTCTTATAAAGCAACCAAGAGATGAGGAGCTTGATACTTGGCCAAAGCTGAATGGCTGGTTTTCTCCCAAGAGGCTCTGATTTTGTCCCTTGATACCTTGATTTGAACACTGACTATGAAAACATGGAAACTCTTCAGGTCCCTGTCCCAGAGCATCCTATATTCCCCTCTCCAGACATAGCTGGATTGTAGGCAACTGAAAAAAACTACTGCTTTTTGCTTGGAGAGACCTTGCAGTAGCATTTGCAGGAAGCGTGAGATTCGGGCCTTGTGGGGTTTATTGCAATATAGCTTCTTACCGGGTAAGACCCCAACAACCTACTGCACTTCCAAGGCACCAAGTTCTCGGGAGCATGTCTCGCCAAAATAAACTATTTCTGTGTGCTTTTCCAGGCACTGTCCAGGAGGCAAGAAAGCTTAGGGAGAACCCATTACAGTGTAGCCATGAGGGGAAGGTCACTACCTTCTCTTCTGTAAAGTGAGCGAAAGGCACTTGTAAGAGCAGGAAGGAATTAATAGCCTTTGGCCTTGAGTCACCTGTCAGTTCTTACTGAGCAAGGACCTAAAGCTCACACTTGGCTCAGCTGAGGCTTACTGCAATACAGGTTCTCACTGAAAGCTAGTATTTCTGCTCATGAGGAAGAAATGTTGCTGGGGAAACGAATCCACGTTAATGTGAGCTACTGGTAGTGTGGTGCAATACATAAGGGTATTGCTAGGGGTCCCAGACCAAATTGCAATGCAGCTAATTACCTGTGGATAGATGAAAGAGTTCTTGCAGGAAACTGTATAATAAATGTCTAAAGCATTCCTGACGAGAGCATTTGACCTCCTGTGTCATACTAAGATGACATGAGGAATTGTTTTATCTCCTTTATAGTATTTCTGCAGGAATTATAATTAAAAAGTAAAAGACTTTAAACCATGAAAGAGCTTTTTTTTTTTTTTTTCTCTTGTGAGATTATATTTTTGAGATCAGTGGTTGTTCTCTAATGAAATACACTGAAACCTGAGGGGATTCTACCCCCTGTCCACTTTTAGGGACTCATTCCCACCTTATGTGTAGTATTGTAATTCAGATTTGATCGTGGAATAGCAGAAGCAGACTACAGCAGGCTGTAGCTTATTTAAACATCACAAATTCTGACAGCCCGATAGGCAGCTTTCATTGCACTTAATTTATCTGGAAAAATAAAATCCGTCCTCACCAGTATTTGCATTTCTAGGAAATATGATCTGAAACACTGCATTTTTTTTTTAGGGTTCTCTATGAGTTATGCAGCATTATGCCTGACTGCTTTTTTAATAACAGCCTATTAAAATAAAGTAACTGCCTTTAGAAGAATGTGATGAAATACGTATGTGTAATGTAGGCTTAGGTTTGGAATTAATATCTTACACGGTTAATCTCTAACCGTTGGGCAATGCTGAACATGCAGGCAAGTTTGAGTGCATTCTTTAAAAGTTCCTTTAAGGTGGGTGCTCTCTCGGTTCATTTGGACCATCCCATCTCACACAGTTGTCCGAGGTTCCTCTACAGCTGTGGGAGGGAGGGTGTACCTCCAGGAGGTAATGCAGCCTTCGCTTTTTAGGAGGTGAAGCACACAGTTTGAGACCCTTCTCAGATGTCTAGATGAGCCAAACTGACACCCTGTGTTGCTATCCGCGTACACTTCTGACTTCTTAGGCCTCCGCTGCAATCTGTGAGTTTATGCTCGATCCCAACGTTTTAGACATTTTCATTTAGGGGAGAGATTCAGCTCAAGGGAAAAAAAAAAGCAGAAAAAAAGGTTTTGCATGAGCTCTAACTAGAGAATTCAAATGCTGCAGTGCTAAGAACACAACTTGGGAAAGACAGTCTGTCAGATTTATAGAGTGAAATGCTCTTCTGGGAAGGAGGAACACTGGAAGAGCATCACAGACAGTTCTTCTTGTCTTTGTGCTGGTGGGAGCCGGGAAGAGATTTTCTTCTGGTTTACACACAGCTCCTTTGGGTGCCAGTGGAGCTGAGCTGGCTTGAACTGGCCAAGGCCTCTTGTGGGGTTGCCATCTCTAAGGCAGCTGTACTGATTTAATGTAGTATGTTACGACGTCCTCATAGTGTCAGAAGTGAGTGTGTGGCTAGCTAGCTGGCAGCTGATGTTTCATCTTATGCTTACTTGCCTTGACCAAGCTAATTTTAGAGAACACCTTGCATATGATCAGGCTTTGTTTAAACCTCTGTTTTCTTGCAGTAAATTGCTTGGATCAACACGTCCAGAAGTCTCCGGACAGAGTGGCTTTGATTTGGGAGAGAGATGAGCCTGGATCTGCAGTGCATATTACGTACAGGTATGCCAGCTTCTCACGAAGCTTTACAATGCCTGGCAACATTGTGGAACTGGGAAGAGAGCTGCTCTCTCAAATCTGACGTCTGTGAAACTCTGCTTTCTTCCAAGGTACCCCAGCACTGAGGACACGCAGCCACAGCGTTGCTGCTGGGTTGTTGTATCATGATGAGGTAGCTTCTGAAAAATGGAGTCATGTTCCCATCTAGAAATGGTACTCTTCCCTTGGGTTCTTCATGGGGAGGTCTTCCTGATCTTAGACACCTATGTGATAAATATATTACAGGGCAAGAGGTACAATGGATGTAAATAAGCAACAGTAGCTGAAAATTGCAGGTACTGATCTGGCGGCTTCTTCTGGTTATGGCTTTAATCACGGCTGCCTGTAGTTGCTTGCTGACGTGCTTTGCGCCTGGTTAACCTGAGAGGAGGAGCAGCCCATCAGATAGCACAGCCTCCCCCAGGGCAACTCTAGCCTCCCCCTCAGGCTGTGCTACTTGAACTATGCTGAGATACGCTGAAATAAGCCCTCAGACTCTCTTCTTGGGATCTCAGGAAAAATGACAAGCCTTTTCTGAATAGCAGCAGAACTGCTTTTTCTTGGCCCACGGCGTGCCAAAAATGTGTTCGAAGGAAAGTATATTTCAGCCTGTGGACTTGGGATTGCAGTGACTTGAAGACAACTTGTCCGCCCTGAAAACTGAGCCCATCTTTGTGCAGCTGCACAAAGATATGAGACATAGCAACCAAGAAGAATATCTAGGTGAAGGACTAGTTAGAAACCTCGGTTTTCAAATGTTGAGAGCCATGTTCCTGTTTCTGCCTGATACTAGTGGTACCCGTGGTGAGATGTGGCTGCATTCTGGTGACACGTTTTATCAAGAGAATTTGGTCCTATAAGGTGGAAAAACAGATTGCCTAACTCTCCACATCTCACGGTTAAATCAGGAATAGCTGTGCTGAAAGCAGTGGTATTATATGGGTGTATGCAAGGAGAGAATCCCGTGTTTTGTCTTGAAATACAGCCTCTTCGATGGGCTTTGGGCTGCATTTTTAAAGGTTTTAAACTGGGCAGCAGGGTTTTCCAAGGCATGTTTGTACTGACCTCCCTTTGAAGCTGAGCTTAGCTGAAAACTTTTTCCAGTAACATCTTGTTTTGTCTAGAAGTTTTGTTGGGGGAGGCATATTAGAAAAAGAAGTGGCACAGAAACTGTAGTGACAGTTCAGTAATCCTCAGCGAGCCTTCTGCAGTAGGGTAATCTCTGAAGGTTAGCTTCAGTGCAGGACAGGCCCTGAGTGAAGGCTGGAGTGATGAAAGGGATGCTGGGTATCAGGAGGACCCAAACTCTGGTGTCTGATCTCTGCTTCTGTGGCAGAGAAAACATGATCCTATCTTTAGGATTTGGGTGCATTGATAGTGTGACAAGAGCCTTAAGCTCGTGCACTAGGAAGGTAAACACTTTAATTCGGTTGTTGTTGTCACTGACCAGCCTTGAGGAAGGTCCTGGAAGCTCAGCTGGGAGGTGTCTAGGGCTTAAGCGCTAGGGAGTACAATGCACCCGTTTGCTCTGTTATCTGCTTTGCAAAGCTGGCTAGCGAGAGCATTTTCTTCTTATTGATAAACCTTGTGAGGCAGGAGGAAAGATAAAGCTGCTGGTGTGGACGCTCTCCCTACTCCTTTGGGGAGCTGTCAGCAGCAAGAAAACAGCAGAGCGTTGGCCCTGTTCCCATCGCAGCCTGCAAAGGAAGCAAGCTGCTGTGCAGGAAAAGGGCTGGAATGGCTTCTTCCTCAGGGATATGTGCTTGATCAGTTGGGCAGAAAAGTCTCCTCCATGCACTGGCTGGAAATGCAGCGGCGTTGGAAAGTGCTGCCCCAGCTTGCCCGTTCTCGGGAGAATTAAGAGCCTTTGTTTGCCTCTGCTGTGCCACTAACTGCCCAGCTTGCAGTGGGCAAAGAGCTGCTGGGGCCGTGCTGTGAGTCCTGCTGCAGTCATGCATGGCTGTCAGCCAGGCAGGCTGTGTTCATACGACGGGGTTTAAGTGCTCCTTCCCAGGATGGGAATTCTAACATCACCTGATTGGCGAAGATACAAAAAACAACGGTCAGAATCTTTCAGCTTTGCTTGAATGGTTATCGCTGCCCTTAGCAGCTCACTTGTAATGAGTGCATATCTTTTTATAAAAGCCTCTGCTATAAAACTGAATTGCCTATTTGGAAAGTCCTGCCCGCTCCTGCAGCCCAGGGTTGCCCGAGAGAGAGGCACTAACCTGCTGGAGGGCACCTGGCTCCTAAAGCAGCCTCAGGACCTCTCTCCTGCAGCAGGGAGGATGGGTAAACAGCTTTCACCACCTGTGTTTGATGTAGCCCGGGTGCTGGAGCCATGGTTAAATGGCACAAGAGCATCAGGCTGCTCAAGTCACTGGTTCGCACCCTTATCTCAAAAGATCTCTTTTACTACAGAGGTTTGTCCTGACTCTCCAGTCAATGCAACTCAGCCTTTTATGTAAAAAAGTTGCCTGGCCCCTCTTGTGCTTTTCTTTCCCCCTAAGAATTTCATTTTCCATCAAGTAGAAATTCAGCTAAATTTCCAGTTGTCTCCAATTTTGAATGAGAAGGGGGGAGAACTGGTTTTTAGTGCTCTGCAGCAACAGGTCATGCCACTGTCCTGAGCTTTGCTGGCTGCAATCTGCAAAGAGGGGAGAGATCATGCCAACCTTTGGCTCTCTGGAGGCCAAAACACAGTAAAATCATCATCATTGGCGGGGCACGGGTGGGAGAGCAGATAACCTGAAGGAGTGTGCTGCTGTCAGTGGCTAGCTGAATTTGTTGGTGGAAGTGTCCAGCTGGGAGTGTTTTGTCCCATTCTGTGGATGTTGTCAGGGCCCGAAAGCCTTGAAACCTTGGCAGGGGAATTTCCTGAGACGTTACTGAGCCTAGGTTTTAGTGTGATCTATTATCAGTTGGGTATATAAGCAGACAGTTCATGGCTGGAGCTGTTGGGTTGCAAGCTCCATAAACCCAACAGTAGGGAAGGTTAAAGACAGCAGGTGAAGTTACAGCAGACCTCCCCCGACTGCAGTGGGGTTATTTATTCTCTTCAGCATTCCCGTGTTTACCACAGTCTGCATGACTTGGCCACCTGTGAACACGTGTTACCTAGCACTGCAAAATCCTGTGTGCACAAGCCCAGAGGAGCAAACTAATGGTGCATGGTGCATGCGTGGTAAATCTCTTGCTAATTGGCTGAATCCCTCTGTCAGCCGTCAGGATGGGTCACAACTTTGTCAGACTGTTCAAGAGCGTGCGGCACATCAGGTTGCAAAGGAATTGCCCCAGCATGGAAAGAGGGCGAGAGTCCCTCTCAGAGGGACAGTTGGGCTGGGAATACAGACTGAACCAGTTGTCTGAACAAGATGCGGTTTTATGGAAAGGGATATTGCCGGAGGGAGCCACGCAAAGAAGTGGGCAGCAGTAGGCGTGAGCTAAGCTGGTTTTGAGAAGTTTCAGGATGGGTATCAGCAGAAGAGTTTTCTGGTGCAGGAAAGGTGGTGGGGAGAGGGAACGTTCAGAACGTGAAATACAAGTTAAGGAAAGCAGAAGCTAAGGGGCCAGGAACTGGGGTCCAGAGTAGCTTTTCGGCATGTGAGGGTGAGATATGCAGAGGGGTAATGGTTGAGCACCTTTGTTAGCCGTGTCACAGCTGCCTCCAGAGAAACCCCAGTGTGATGGTTTCTCAGCTAGAGCTGAAACAGTTGAGATTGTGTAGGAGATTGCAGCAGAGATGGCAGTTTAGGAGCCACGTGGGTACTTGTGGGTTATGTAATGTGAAAAGCGTTTCTCAGTGACAGCAAACCGTTCTAGTGTTGACTTCCTAAGGTAAACTCACAAGTAAATCTTGCCAGGGCTTATAGGCTTACCCCATCCAAGGCAGCCCTGGGGACTTTTCACTTCCTCACCTGAAAGCGTTTGCAAGGGCTTGTCCTCACCTTGTGTTCAGGATGTCTGAAAAAAGGCTGGAGGATTGTGGGAATGGATTTCTTGTTTTAGCAATTGAACCTATAGTTAAAAAAATCATACTGAACCCTATATTTTTCAATTATTCTCACTAAAATGGAAAAATGTTGAGGTGAAAAAGAAATGCATGTTTTCTCCGTTCAGCAAGAAGTGAGGACAATGGAGAGTTAAACTGAGGCACTATTCATTGAAGCTGCAGTGAGGGGTGACTAGATTTGCGCATTATCCTTGCGGCTGGAGCACTGATGCAGGAAGGAGAGTTGGGGTCTGAATACCTACTGCCTTCCAGAGGACATGAACACGTGTCTTGAGTGACGATGCCCTTGGCTCTGTTGTCATGAGGTATGGAGACAGGCTTTGATCTCAGCTGTTCCATAGGGACTCATGTAGAGAGCAACAGCTAGGAAATGGGATGAAGGTGCTAGGCTGAGAGATGCCCAGATCTTTATCTTTCTTTTTTTTTTTTTTTTTTTTTTTTTTAAGTAAACTAGTTGGTGCACTTGATCTGAAATGTCAAATAGTTTCAGCCTGATGCAGACTTTATTTCCAGGAAATACATCATTCACTACAAGAAATACTCAACCAGTCTTAGTGCTGAGACAGCAGAGAACATGGTTTGTGCTGAAGCTATTTAATTAAAAACATACTGTTAAAGCCCATGTAAGGCATTAGATGAATTAGAATTATATCTAGAAACGCTATGCGAAAGGCTGTTTGCTGAAGAAGGTTGTGATACATTTTTGTCATATGAAAAGAACTGGCTTCCTTTGTTTAGAAAGCTGCAAGCTGTCATCTTGTAGTGAAAGATAACATCAGAGTTCTTAGAAGAAATGTTTCTGTCAGGCATCCCTAAAATGCATCAGAGAACTGCCATTTGTTGGTTTTACAGGAGTCTTTGTTCCAGACACTGAATGATGGGCTTTGGAAACACAGGCACCACTGTATCTGGGGAGGGAGCTGGGAGAAATATGATCTGGTAGTTTCTGAAT